TGACTGCTCTAGTTAAATCGATATTATTAGAAGACATATTTTGCCAGCCCTAAATGTCAGTTGACAATTTGCTTACATTCCATAATTGGCCTAAACGTACCATACAAGAAACTGCTGATGGGTTCACCAATACACTCACATTTGATATGTCAGTACTGTTAATTTACATTTGCATTTTTAAATTCAGAACTATCCACTGATTGGAGAAAGACGTATGCAGAGCTATTGAGAGAAGAAGATGGCATCAAGTGAAAATTTATTTTTATATTTTCATATTTTATTATATTTTTTGTTGCATTCCTTTTTATATTTAAGTATATTATTATAAGTAATTTTGATTAAAAGTTATAAATTTGGTAAAGAAATAAAAATTATATTATCTACTGCGCAAAAGAATTTTTCACTTCTGGTAGCGTTTCAGTCATAACTGACAATTTTCAGCTATGACGGATTTATGGTCAGCTTTGACTATCATATTATCCATCAGATGACCGTCACTGTTCTTGTAGGGTACATAACAAATGTAAACAAAAAGAAATGTGAACTGCCAATGCAAACTCATCGAAAACACACAATGTCGATCAGAACGACTTTGGTTCCACAATCCACAAATTGTGTTTTCAAGAGGATTTTAATTCGGTGCGAACATAGTATTAGAGAAATTCCCCCCCATTTCAATTACAACCCCAGAAGATCAGTATTGTGAAGACTTTTACAAAGCCACAACTACTACATAAGATAATGGTCGGTACGTCGTACAACTACTTCTAAAACAACAATTTCCCAACACAGTCGCCTTAGATCACTCTCGCACCTCTGCAATACAGCAGTTTCAAAGTATTGAAAAAACCTACTTAAAAAAGGCGAGCTCAAACCAGATAATGATATCTGCATTATTCGCCAAACAAAGCGACAAATTGTATCCTCTGTGGCAAAACTTTTCGACCCCGCAGCATGGCTTTCGCCAATTATGATACAAGCCAAAATCCTAATACAAAAATTATGGCTAGATGGAACCTACTGGGACGAACAAGTCAAACCACTTCGTTTAGAAAAGTGATCCCAGTTTGCGTGCAATCTGATATCTCACATATACAAAACCCATGATGGGGAAACTATACCCCAGAGCACAAAGTCGACCTTCTCGGTTTCTGTGACGCCTCTGAAAAGGCCTATTGCGCCACTATATACGAGCGCTACTACAAGCCAAACTATTATTCATGGTGCGAATGCATTTAAACATGCGCACCTAGACGTACAAAAAGCAAAGGTCGCTCTTATCGCAGCTTCTCAAACGCATTACTTCAGCCGAGAAATATCATTACTAAGAGATTCGAAGCCGATTGATAAAAGAAGCTCACTCTCAGTACTAAATCCATTCATAGACGCGAAATATCTAGTACTTCGTGCGAATGGTCGGCTTGCCAATTCCAGTCTGCCGTATAACGAACGTCAAGAAATGCATTTTCATGTGCAAGATCTGCACTATGAATAAGCAGAAGATGCGATGGCAGATTATAGCAGCACTTCCACCGGAACGCTGTAACTTCGCTCTGCCTCTCACTATTACATGTGTCGAGCATCCAACATCGGCGGACTTCCTTTTGGCGCGCGAGTCACCTCGTTTTTTTCACCGATTTTTTTATATACATTTACACCGTCTCCTTTAGTATGCGAACAGGGAGTGATTGCGTTGAGATAACCTTTTTTTATAAGTATTCAAAAAAGTCAGATTGAAGGACGAACTATCATCAACAAAAGAAATCTCTGCAGGTGTCCCCAAGGATGCATATTAGGCCCTTTCCTATATTTAATTTATACATCATACATGCCCACTACTCCTAATACATACACATCAACAGATGCAAATGACACCGCATTTATACACGTCAACAAGGATGAAAAGACAAGATTACCCACAAATAAAAATAAATATCAATGCTGTCCCTATCGAAAATCATTTCAGATACCTAGGTGTCCATCTAGACCGGCGTCTAACATGGTCCCGTCATATCGAAGCCAAATTAGCGGCCATTAAGCTGAAATCCGCTCAAATGCACTGGATTATTCGTCCTAATTTAACACTAGATCTTGAACACAAGATTCTCTATATAAGTGCATTATAAAACCAATATGAACCTACTTCGACTGCCATATACTACTCCATACGAAACAATAATTTTTGTTATTCTAGCAAACCTTATGCCGAATAAGTCGGCCATTGTGTGACTCAGTTATTTACAAAATTGCTTGAAAATATGTTCTTGAGTATACCTGAGCAATCTCAAGTTTGAATGCAACAAGCCCGGTCCTTTATCTGCTCCCAATATAGCCTGAATATTGACTCGAAACTTATCGGCGCAACTTGAAGTTAGCAGACGGTCATAACAACGGATAATTCATGATGACTTAAACCTGTTGCCGTCCAAAGTTCAAATAACAAGCCGGTTAAACTCTCTAGATTTACCGGCGCGCCTGGAATTTTGCCAAAAATTTATTGAAATGGCCGAAGAAGACAATAACTTGATATGTTGAAATGTAAACATGTAAAATTGCCGTATATGGAGTGAATCATATCCAGAGACGGAACTTCGCACAGTCTGAGTCAGGCTATACTTCTTATGTATTGAATGCATTGTCAGACTATATTTCTTGGAAGAAAATGGTATACCAGTAACTGTAAATGGGCACCATTACTTAAAGATATCTTCATGAAATTTGGAATAGATTATTATCCAAAGGATGGATTAGATTATTATTATGGAATGTAGAGCAGGTTCGCCTCCACGCCTTCCTGGCCTTTTAGACTCCTACAGATTTTTGACCTTTGCTTGATACAGACATAGCTTAGATTATTAGATGGATCGGTTGAACCCTGGGCCTGTGGGCGTAGTATTTTGTCACCTGAGTATGCACAGATGACACCCTGCAAAAATGGCTGATGGACGAAGAAGAAAACAGGTTGAAACCAACCTCAGCTAATTTGGACGGTTCCTTGGGAGGGACACCCTCACCATAGGAGACGAAATCGTCCCCCGTAAGGGTTTAGACAATTCCGGTTGCGCTTGGCTTACCGTCACTTGGGGATTCTCCCTCTGGCGACCTCTGCCGTTTAATCGAAGTGTGAGGGTCATTCGGCCCCTCTTTTCCGTCGTTCATGGCGGTGAAAAGCCATGGGTCGGTGTCGCACCGATGTTTAGCGAAATGGCTAAACTTGCCAAATCAGTAAAGCTTGGTGTGTACGACCATAGCAGAAGAGATGGAGCCATCTCCGGAGGTAGCGGATAGGGGCTGCTATATGCGCTGTTCCTTATGAAGGTGGTCAGGGGAAACCCTGGTCCTTTACTTAGATGTGAAAGTGCCGAGTGGCACCTTGGAATGCACAAGCTGATAAAATGTTACGACGAACGGTCGACATTTCTTTATAAGGAGGCGGTAGCTAGGATAGAGGAAGTGTGGAAAGGAGTAAGGTTTGAGGCGGTGGCCTAATCGAATCTCCCGATGGGCCCTCGGGCTCGTTCTGGCTTCCGGTCAAACCCTCTACCTCGGCCAAAATTTGAGAGATGATCCGCTATTGTAATCCATCTTTTCCGACCCAAGACTGGAGGGTGATTCGGCTGGAGAGCACCGAGGAGCCACATCGGCATGCGCTGATACTCCTAAACAAAGAGCTCCTCGCTCCTCTCAGTATCATAAAGGGGCTTCTAGAGGATGGTTCTTTCGATAATGCAAACAGAAGCAAAGGCGGATGACCCACTGCCCCTGCTTAAGAAGAGTTTGGAAAAGAAAGATCCTTAAAATGACTCTCCAGCACTCAAAGGCGGCCTCCGCTGATCGCGCGAACCGTGCATTCAAAGCTAGTTAAGGAGTGTCTGTCTTCACTAGAAATACCTCTAGCTACTTCAACATCAGGCTTGTTTGGGTGCCTGGTAACAGCGGAATCGCTGGTAACTGCAAAGCAGATGAGATATCACGGGGGGCACCTTTACCCCGCTCACATCGTAAGCTCCTTCTGGCCTTGAGTGGAACGCAAAAGATCTAGTGAACTACTATCCCATCAAAGTTCATATCGCCGCTATCGTAGGAGTTCTCACTGTATACTGTACAATGGGCATTTATGCAGTATGGCTTAAAATCTTACACGATACTAGTTGTCAGAGTTATATCGAGGAGGGGAGGTGGAAACATCCAGGCACTTTCTCCTCCACTGCCCGGCTTTTGCAATACTGAGACTGAAACATCTTGGTAATCAGACCTTCGGCGGACCAGAAGACTTAGCCGAAATGGATATTAGCCGTCTCAACAAATTTGTTATAGGCTCAAGCGCTTTGTCGATTTGTTGGGGTTTGATGATCTAGCTTTATAGAAGTTTTAGGTACCAAAACCGACCTGCGTTCTAAGCTGTCCAACTGAGATCCTCTTAGGATCGACTTCCTCACCTAACCTAACCTTATCCAAGGCAACGGTACAATCTCCAAAGAAATTGTTATGAACGGATAACAATACAATATATGTATGTGTTAGCTGTCACACAAGCTGATAGATCAATTTTTATGGAAAACTTTTATATTTGACGATATGTCTTCATAAAATTTTAAAGAGATTATTGGCAACGGTACAATCCCCGAAGAAATTGGTAAGATCGGTTCAGCCGAAGTTAAGATTTTTCCTTGTTTAATAATGATTTTATCAACACCTGAAGATATTTCCCCGGCTTGATTGTGCAAATGTCGTCTACAATTTTTTACGGAACCCAACGTCATATGGAAAAAATATGAAAGACAGGCAATCATAAATCAGAAAGGCGGTATATTTTGAAAATAGCTTCCAATTCGAGTGACTCTGTGGCAAAAATAAAGGCGGAAAGTGGTTCCAGTGCCAGTGTTTCCACTGTGAGAAGAGTACTTAACAGTTGTGAGCACCTGGTACTCAAAAAATTAAAAAAAAAAACGTAATAAGAACGAGTTCTGCGCGATTTTTGTAATTTAGAAAGCATTATATTTCAACTGTGATTGTACAGGTAATCTTTTATTATTGATTAATGCATATTATTATGAAAACAGCATGAATAAAATATAAATTTACGTGCGTTTTTAAAATAATTATGTCCCAATTTGATTGTGGAATTATTTGTAAAAAAAATTTACTTCACAATGTCATCTTCAAATTGCCAGTCCCAATCGGAGAAATCGTAATCCTGTAAGAATATGTTAAACTTCCATTATGTTTGAATTCAGATGAATTATAAATAAGACTTACATTTTGTTCATTATTTGATCTTTTATTAGATGGTTTCTGTATTGTGCATACCATATAAGTCGAACCAGTGTTATGGCCAGTGCATTCGCAAGTTTGATTACCGTTTGATACAGAACTTTGCACCACTCGCTTAGCAAAAATAGTTGTTAATCGTTTAATTGGACTTTTCTGTTTAACGCTGAAAACAGATCCCTCAGTATCTAAAGCTAATTGTGCACATATCCCGAAGCTGCTATTTGAAACATGGAGCGTATGACGTATTTCGCTACTACCTTCAGGGCTGCGATTCGAATATATAAACTGCTTGTCAAAACCATAAAAGTGACGTATTTTACGTGGTTTGTGAATGTTAAAATCAGCGTTGGTGATGATATGTAAACTAACTCCTTCGTCGATCATATATTGTAATATGGATGAATAATCATATCGCATTTGTTTAATGTCACATCGGCTACAAGATATTATTATAAAGGTTTTTGAAACTCCTGTTCGGAAATTTAATCTGGAAGCTGTGGAAATAGCTTGCATTATATCACTCTTTGAAGTAGATCCATCATAACTTTTTGAGAAAACTGTACTATGCTTTAGGTATTGACGTAGTATATAAGTACTGTTAGTAAAAACAACATTGTCTTTTGAAATAGTTCGGGGATAATCAAATGGTGGTAGTTGCGAACCAAACGCAATGACGGCATATCTAAGAAATAAAATAAACGTGTATATTCTTAACTGCTCACTTAGACCGTATTACGATTTTACCTGGTGTTCATAAATCTCTGGCTGTGTAATTGTTCCTCGAGGGCTGAAACTATAGAATTCGCCAAGCTGAATGTATTGCACTCGTTTGCTTCAACTAAAAAGACTATATCGCTGCTACGAGACTCATTATTTATGTTATATTCCACAAATGTACTTTCAGGGACATATTCACCATTATTAATTTCGCACCTATAAAAATAGTTCATTAGCATGTCTAAAATTAAAATATTATAAGTAACTTATAAGTATTATGTTTAAAGTTAACTATAGTATAAATTTTTATAAAACTATTTCTAAATAAAATTTATTACATTTGTACAAAAGATGGGGAAATACCTTTAGATGTTGCAAAAATGTATATTAAACAAGTAAGGAAGAGCTAAGTTCGGGTGTAACTGAACATTTTATGGTTTTGCAATTTGAAATGAGCAAAGCAAAAACCTTCAAGTGTCCACTTAACTTCATATTAAAAAATAATGCGAAAGAATTCAACATTTGTTATTCAGCGAAATCGTGAATGAATTACTATCAAATTTGGTATTATATAATATTATAGGTATAGACTCAATTAGTTTTAAAAATATATTTGACTTCCCGTTAGCAAAATTATATTGAAATCGTCCTCAAATGAGGTATACTTAACATAAACTTAACCAGAGAAACCTAGTTTAATATTTGATGCGCAAAACGTCAACCAGGAGACCAAGATCTAGACCAGCTCCATTCATGTTCATTGCCAAACCATTAACATAATTACGTTTGTTAGAATGATTAAATGGGTGCCCAATTTAGTGGGAAACACCCACCACTGAATTTAAATTGTTGATAATTCACTTACACTCGCGTTAAATATTAAACATATTTATGTAAGTGAAAATGCGATTCTCTTTCGGCTGATCGTGATAGGTAAACGCGTGTCGCATCAACGGGTATAATCGAATGTCGAGTTTCGCTAAGGATCACTATTATTTCGAATGAGGTATATCTGCTGCCGAGACGATCCTTTTTGTTTGCTGAGGTGGTGTATAGCCGCGATGTTGTGGTGTGTTGTGTTGTCCCGTGTGGTGATGTATAAGGGTGGTGTATTGTAGTGGGTTATACTAGGGTGTGCCATTATTTTGGGGGTGAAGCGGTGTACTTGGCCGTAGGAGTTTATACTCATTTAAACATCCTGGGCCCCCTAGGCGAATATTTTGCCTAGTATTGAACGTATATACTGTTACATGTATTTCGGCTTACTGCTGATGAAGCAGCCGAGGCTGCGGCATACATGCTGTAAGTGTAAGATACTTTTATTTGTTGTAAATGGATGTTATGTATTTCGATATGGGAGTTGGTGCTTAAAGTAGCTTGTTTATTTGATTTTTCTGTATTAGAGGCACTTCTTTGCAATTTATTTATTTCGGCTTATAGGACATCGACTCCACGCCTGGCTTGGATATGACCAGAATGGGTGCTCCTTTAAAACCATTGAAGAGGGATCTTGCGAGAGTACAGTGATTGGCCGAGAATTGAGAACGACTTTTCCTAGAGGTAGTAATGTGGTAAATACGATATATTTATATCTGTTATATCCATCTAATTTTTTGAAGTAGGATTTGAAGCTTTTCATAACTGATTCAAATAAACCAGACAACGCATTATAGGAGCGCTTAAAAAATGTGATAAGTGCCACCTTTGGTTTTTGTAAGTCTAGGTGCGTCACTGTATCACATTAGGAGTATGGTGATCCCTTAACTTGATTTTTGAATAATTTTAAATGCATTTATAAAAATTTTGACAACTATGAGGCGTCATAGTAAGAGAGGTGTCGATTTTTCGACTTTCTTAGAATAATTTTGTTATACATATGTTATGTTAAATGCGTTCGGAATAATTTGGCAAGTAGTTGAGTTATGTGTCTTGAAGCGTTTTTGTATCATTATTGGCAAGAGCCATCCTGCGGGGTCGAAAAGTTGCATATTTGTGTTTTGAAACCTGATCTTGTCAGAAGGGACTCTGACTTTGTTTTTTCTGCCAATTCGTGAAGTGTTGGAACATTGTGAATTTAGTAGTAGTCGTATGACGTATCGGTCATTATTTGATCTAGTAGTTGTAGCTCTGTAGAAGTCTTCACAATACTGATCTTTTGGGGTTGTAATTGATATGGGGGGGGGAGTTTTTCTAACTTCCGAAATTTCCTCAATTGTGAATTAAAGTATTCTTTTGAACTTGTGTCAACTTGAGTGATCATGGGGGTAACTGGTTCCGAAACTAGTCCACTTAGGATCCAACCAAAAATAGTATTTTGGGCTAGAAGGGTGGTTGAAATTTTTTCAACACCTTCAAGAACTATCTGCGGCATAAGGTCCTTGCCTATTAGAATATCTATTTGAGCGGGGGTGTTGCAGTTGGGATCAGCTGGCTTTAGGTGTGAAAAACTTTGCCAATGCTAGCTATTTATGTGCTAGCTTGGAAGCATGTTAGTAAGTTGCACTAGGACTATAGCTTCTGCTACAATTCGCTTATCCGCTTGGGGCGAAATTAGGGTAATAGGGCAGATTTTATTTGAGTTTTGGACTACCCTTCCGCCCATTCCCGTAACTTCAAAATTTAATTGATTTGTTGGGAGTTTTAGCCCATTTTGTGCCTTAGACGCTATGAAGGATCGTTGTGATCCTTGGTCTATTAAGGCTCTAAGTTTGTAGAGTTTTCCTCGATGTTCGATGGAGATGACTGCTGTGGGTAGTAATACCCTACTTTGAATTTCGCTGAGTAGCGTTTTTGTTTTTAAGGCCTTTGAGCAGCATGATGCTTCTTGGCAATTTCCGGGATTTTGATTTTCGGGATTTGCTTTTGCAATTTTTATGAGTATGCGCATATGACAAGCGATTTGTAAAAAATCTTTTTGATCTGACAAAATTATTTCGTTCGTTAACTTCTAGTTTTTTAAACTTCTCACAAGATTGTAGTTTATGCCCTCTTGTGCATAGTTCGCATGACGTACATGTGTTTATTCTGTTCGGATGTGATACGATAGCATTTTGTAAAAGCTTCTGTTTAATTTGTTTTTGCTACTAGCTTGGGGTCTATTGAAGCTTCTTTTTAGGTCGTTTCGAAAAATTTTTGTTTTAATAAGTTTTTTAGCTACCCTTTCAGCGATTTCGTACTGGGTAGTTAGAAAGCCTTTCATTTGTTGCCACATTGGGCATTTTTTCCGAGATGAGAGCGATTGCCCTCAAAAAAGTAACGACTTTCTGATAATGCTGCGGTGCATATATTTACCAGAATAGGGTCCCAGCTGTCTGTGGAAATATTTTGTGTCGATAATTTCGACTTAATTCATTACTTGTTTGTTTCTGCATTTTATTAAATTAACATGCATTAGAGATTTTAAAATTTTGTGGTAGATTTGAGTCACCAGTTTCTATTATGGTATCATGAGCCTCTTGAAGACGAATCCAAAAATTATAGAGACTTTATGAATGAAATTGGTCTAGACCTTTGTTTAAACCTTATAACTCTAGTATACTGATTTCCTTTCCTTTCGTACAACAGCAACCTCATATACCCCACATATTAAATCTAACCCCTTTGGTTCAGTTTATATCACATATACCATGTTGGAGTTAAATAGCTTCTTTTTGTTAAAGTTAAAATTTCGGAGAAAAAATAGTATCTGTCTAAAATAGTAAATCTATGATCAATAGCATTAGTTAATAAGATACCAAAAAATAATCGAATAATAAATGTTGAATATTTTCGCAACATTTTAATACTTTCGCAACATGTTGCAACAGAGTATAGTTTTGTTCACCAAACGGTTGTTTGCATCACCTAAAACTAATCGAGATAGATATAGATTTCTATATACAAATATTTCTTCTAATATTTGGTGATAATTAGTGGATAAGTGTATTTTCCCAGCCATCATGTTAAACTTATAACAAAATATACCAGACAACAATGTAAAAAAGTTTCTTAGAGTGCTGGACTTTGTATAGAGCAAAAATATCTTTCTCGAAAAAATCGCATGAGATAAATAATAGTAGTGTAGTATCAAAAGGGCTGAAGATCCTTTTATGTGGTAATAGATAAACTGGGACCCCATCGGTTAAAATGCTATTAGCTATTATTTCAATTCTGCGACACATTTTAATATGAAGGTCATGAGGTGAGCGTAAACTCAAGACAATTACATTTAAGTACTTTTTGGGATTTACTCAGCGCCGCTGGCAGCTTGTGAAAGGTTTAGATATTAAGACAGAAAGAAGAAAATCTACATACCTGCTCTACATATGTGTGTACCATACTTAATTATATGTAAGTTATTGTTAATTTAGCCTTCATGAGCAGACCTTTAAAAATAGGTACTATAGCTCCCTGTTTTAAAAAGCGTTAGACAAAAGCAATTTACGGAGCGGTTTTCCGAGCACTTAATTGCAATACAATGAAATAAATTACTAATTTCTAAATTATAAATATAACTAAATAATCTGTATTATTATGCTAGTGAATATCTATGTAATATATAGGTATAAAAAAGTACATAGAACAAGACGGCAAGATCCACAAGTTCGCTCTGAAGAGCAAATAAGAAATACTCGAAGTCGTAGGTCTTGCCGAGAAAATCCTGATTTACGTTATGATGAGCAAAGAAGGAACACTAGGGATCATAGAGAATTTCGCGCAAGAAATCCTGAGTATAGCAATTTAGAGCGCATTCGTGATCAAATGCAAAGAGAACATGCAAGAAGAAATCCTGAAATAAGGAGAGAAGAGCGTGATAGAAAAACACAACGTCGACAGGTTAGTAGGAGGGGTATGAGGGAAGAAATCTTAAATCAGAGACGTCTTAGATAAAGTCAAGTTCACTTTTGTAGAGATAATCCGGTTAATAGGCAAATTGAAAACGGTCCCAACGAATCCGATTAACGAGAGAAAATGATGTTATAGAAAATGATTATAGTGGCAATTTAACAGATTTTAAAAACATTTATTTCCAAAATGTAAATAAGGGCCCTACTGAAATATGTATTTGCTGCGGCGGATTATGCTTTTCACACCAAATTAGCAAATTGAATTTCGAAACTGTTGTCCAAGGTCTCCCGAACGCTGCATCCGCCTTCTATTTAATGCAAAAATTTCCTTCGGAAGATGGAAATTACAATTTTTGTGCTTCTTGCAAAAATGCGATTGTTAAAAAGAAC